GGGAGAGATGAAGGTAATCTAGAAAATTAATAGAACTTTTTTTGGAAAGATATATGGGCTGAAAATGTTCCTCTTTGCTTCTATGTTTCTTGAACTTTTTGAACTCGTTATGGATAATGGGAGAGATGAAGGTAATCTAGAAAATTAATAGAACTTTTTTTGGAAAGATATATGGGCTGAAAATGTTCCTCTTTGCTTCTATGTTTCTTGAACTTTTTGAACTCGTTATGGATAATGGGAGAGATGAAGGTAATCTAGAAAATTAATAGAACTTTTTTTGGAAAGATATATGGGCTGAAAATGTGGGAGAGATGAAGGTAATCTAGAAAATTAATAGAACTTTTTTTGGAAAGATATATGGGCTGAAAATGTTCCTCTTTGCTTCTATGTTTCTTGAACTTTTTGAACTCGTTATGGATAATTGGGCTACTGATGGTAGGATTAGATATGCATATGTGGATTTATGGAAATTTCATGTCTGTTTGAATGTGAAGATTTTTGTTTGCTTTTGATTAGAGGAAGTTTGAAAACAAAAGAGATAGATTAATCATGAAAGGGGTGATTGTTGACCCTCAATTCTACTGCGTGATAACTTAGCTTGAAAATCATGAGCACCTTTCATGATTAATCTATCTCTTTTGTTTGATTTATGCAAGTGTATAAAATTAAGATAATACAAGTGTAATAATGTGGGAGGGATCTCAGACCCCCAACCCCGACCCCAACCTCCTATGCCATTAAGCCCCGCCGCCAACCAACTCTGGATCCGACCCCGACCCCAACCCCAAGCCACGTGGGAGGGATCTCAGATCGGCCATCTCCTCTCTCTCTCTCTCACTTGGATCCAAAGGGAGCTTGAATCATAAGTGTTTGTAGGTAAAAATTTAAAATTTTTTTAAGATTGAAGGTTCTTGATGTTTGATGCTTGATGTTTGCTCCATGTTGAATGTATTTGTCTTCAACGAAGAGGAGATTGATAGAGACTAGCTTCCCATAAACTGAGGTTCACCCTGAAGACAGAATGTCACACCATCTGCTGATGTTCATTAATAAGTGCAATAGGCTTCTGTAAATTTCCTTCATAAGGAGTTGAACTTTCTGCAGCAAGCTCAAACTTTGCCTCTTGCGACTACCATACAAGAAAAATTATTTGAGCTGTTTGCTTCCTACCAGGATCTTGTATTCCTCTGAAGAAAATCAAATCAATTGTATATGTTCTTTTATATGTTTGTTGTTGGCGATTTTAATGGTTATGCTGTGTATAAACTGTATTATAAGCCTACACGTGTATTCATAGTTGCACTGAAAGATGTTGTTGTGCCAAAGCTTCTGTTAGTAGTAAAATTTTAATGGCTATGCTTCTTTCATGCATATTTAGACAATCATGATTGATGTTGAGTTTAACATCTTAGACAGTCACATATTCTTTCCTGCTGCTCTGCCATCAGAGTGAAGGTGTTACGGAAGTGGAGCGATGATGAAATTTTTTGTGTCTTTTATTTTTCTAGCAGGGAAAAAGTATGGAAGCAGATGGTCCACAATAAGTTAGTTTGGTCACTCTTACAATATTAGCGGTTGCAGTTGCTCTGTTCCATTTCAAGTTTTTTGGCAGCTCGCAACTGAACTTGCGAGTGTTTGTTTTGTGATGTAGACATGGCTCAACTTCAGCAAAAGTGTAGAACAAGTTATGAAACTAAAATCAATCTTTGGATGTTTTTACATTGCACAAAAGATATTAAACAAGAGAAAAAATATGAGACATGCAATGTAAAAATAAGCATTAAAACATAACATTGGTGGGGTTTCATGTATTCACAACCATTGTAGATAAAACATCAAAGATAAATTTACATGGATCTACTTCTATTACATCCATGCCCCAAGAGTTCCTCATACATTCACAAGCCATTCATGTAGGCCCCAAATAGTATTATTACTCATAAAATTATCTTTTTCATACCCTCCATGTATAATTCCCTGATAAAGAACTACAAAAGGCGCCATTTTAGTCTTCATCCTCATAGGGCAACATTTTTGCTGAAGGGAATATAATCAGTACAACCAAAATACTACAAAATACAACCAATTAGTCCATACAACCACAATATATAAATACTTTAATACAACCATAACATACAATACGACTTACCAACAATTTAAAACCGAATAACATCAATAAGTTTATACATCATCAAAGTTCACTGGCATCAACAAGTCCATACAATTAAATTAGTCAATAAACACCCAAAGTAGTCCATACATTAGTCAATAACCAAAATAGTACATAACACCTCGTTACTTTTTAGCTCCAAAATATTTTTGTACACTATCTCATTTGTTTCTTCTATAAATGAAAAACAAAAAGAAATTAATTAG